CTAAGTCAACAAGAACAAGTAACGCTTTTTTGAGTTTTATTTTGGGAATAAATTAATATCAAAATTTTTGATATAATTTAGTTAATAATTTTAATTTGCTTGTAAAGTTTCATTATTCAACATTTACAATTTATCATACGTTTTACGTCTTAAATTATTTTTTGTTATTACGTACTAGGTATATAGATTAAATTCCAAAATTAATTATTGATATGAAAAACAGTTGACTGTTAATTCATAATTGGTATTGCATAATATTTAGTAAATAGAATATTGTTGTGCAATTTATACCGCATATTCATACTATTTTAATACAAATGTGTCGAAAAAATTTTAAATGCATAAATAACAAATTTAAAGTACTTCAATAATGACTGAAGTAAACAACTCTGAAGCTTCATCAATATACAGGTTGGATATCTTGTATATTGTCTTTATAGATCATAAATATCTATAACATATAAAATAAATTTGAAGAAAATCATATTTTTTTTTGTGATCCTTTTAGAGGTTGTTCTTTTTGGAGTTGGTTTCCTTGGAGCTCAATGTCGTGGAAATGTCTACAAGAAGCTGAACGGAAATTATTTGCATGTACTTTATATCTACCTTAACATTATTTTTGTTTTATATTTCAATTTTGACAATTATTTTTAGATGTCCAATCTCCATATCGTACTCGATATGTTAACCTAGGTCCAGTTGTTGAACAAGAAGATAAAATATGGACACTAGAAGTTAACACTGAAAAACGAGAAACTCCTGTAGTTTTGTTACATGGTTTTGGTGCTGGTATAGGGCTTTGGTGTATGAATGTTGACAAAATATCGAATAATTGTAGACCTGTATATGCCATGGATCTATTAGGCTTTGGTCGCAGTTCTAGGCCAAGATTTAGTACAGACCCTGAAAAAGTGGAATACCAATTTGTAAATGCTATTGAAAAATGGAGATCAGAAATTAAACTTGAAAAATTTATTCTACTTGGCCATAGTTTTGGAGGATATTTAGCTACTGCTTATTCTATACAACATCCTGAAAGGTAAATTCACTTGATATTTATTTAAATAAGAAGTTTTTAAAATGTTTTGTATAGAGTTCACCATTTAATACTTGCTGATCCTTGGGGATTTCCTGAAGAAGACAAAAATATTAAGAAAAAAATTCCTTGGTGGGCCAAAGGAATATTTTATGCTCTTAAATCGTTTAATCCACTGTGGCCAGTAAGATTTGCTGGTCCTTATGGTAAATTTGATTAGTATTTATTTTTTAGGTTAGA